TCAAAATCTTTGCTAATTTAATAGGTGAAAGATCATTTTAATTTGCATTGATTGATTGATTGATTTAAGATTCAGGGGGTCCATGTGCTGGGTATGTTTTGTGATGGCGAGGTTTGGCTTCTATTAAGGCTGTCACCCAAGTGGTGGGCGTGGCTCTCAGTGGGTAGTTTTTCAACCCTTACTTCTTACTCCCTTTTCCTGTTAGGAGTCCCCAGTGTTTCTTGTTCCCATCTTTATTTCCATGTGTACCCAGTATTTAACTCCCACTTATAAGTGAGAACATGCAGTACTCGTTTTTCTGTTTCTTGTTTACTGTTGCTTTGAATATTTTTTTCTCTTTTATTTATTTATCTATTTTAAAGATGTGGGGTACAATTCAGGATTAGGCATACAAGTGGTCATTGTACAGGTAAAGTTTTGACCTCTCTTTGGTCCCCATTTCATCTGGTTTGAGGTCAGGTACCCTTACTGATGTTGTGTTCCCCCAGCCCATCCACCCCAGCAGTATCCCGCTACTGCCAATCCCTTTCATATAGTGTTAGGGTAAATGTTCAGGGTCTGCTTATGAGTGAGAATATGTAGTACTCTGTTCTCTGTTTCTGTGAGAGATCACTGAGTATGAAAGATTCGAATATTTTTCATATGCTTACTGGGTCTTTGTATTTTCTTTTCCATGAACATTTCATCTTTACTAATTTAAAAAAATGTGTTCGTAGTGTATTTCTAGTCATTTTGCAAGAGCTGTTTATATATTAAATGCTGCCTCTTGGGTATGTTAATATTTTTGAGATTCACATACATATTTTTAAGAGTCATCAGTGAAAGCAAAAGAACCTGCATTGCTTTTGTGCTGATGAATAACCGTCTACTGCTCACCAGTATGGAAGACTGGAATACCTTCAGGCAGGGCCGTAAAAGATTTCAGAAAGCAAATATTGCACTAAGCAAATATTCCATACCTTTAAATACAGAAGACACGAACACGGCCTAGGATTTGGGGACAGGGGTTCAATTGTCCAGGTCTGGCTGGACCCTGCATGCGCTTGTCACATACACCTGGTTCTCTCAGTGTTCACTGAGTGAGTGTGTGAGAGAATGGATGGGTGCACCAATGGTTTCTTCTTCATGCAGGATATTGGATTAAACATGTATCTTGTGGTTTTCCCTTTGTAAACAGGTGCTGAGCTTGGAAAGACCATTCAGCACATTGATAGGCCTGTAACATGGAGTAGATAGAGTCTTGCAATTGACAGTAAACACTCATTTATCTCGAGGGAGCCAACCCTGAGGAATTAATGGGAAAGGACAATTGAGGAAGGACGGGAACCACCACTGAGGGCAGGTTATACATTTATCTGGAGGAGAAATCTCTCCCTCAGCATTTCATAAGATGTATTACATCTGGAATTGTTTCATGTGGGGAGTTTTTATAAGTTATTAAAACCAAAGGTGAAGGTGATAGGGTTATACAGACGGGAGAAATGGTTTATCTTACCAATTATTAATGATGAGGATACATTTATATTAGCCTTTTCATGGTCTTGCCCACTGAGATTTATAACATAGTTCCCATTTAGCAAACTTTTTTTTTTTTGAGATAGGGTTTCACTCTGAGTGCAGTGACATGTCATGACTCACCTCAGCCTTAAACTCCTGGTCTCAAGGGATCCTCCCACTTCAGCCTCCAGGGTAGCTGAGACTCCAACACACAAAACCATGTCTGGCTAATTTTTCATTTTCTGTAGAGATGGGGTCTCACCGTGTTGCCTGGGCTGGTCTTGAACTCCTGGTCTCAATCGATCCTCCTGCCTTGGCCTCCCAAAGTGCTGGGATTACAGGAGTGAGCCACCAGGCCTGGCCTGCACATCAGTTTTCTCTGTATCTAGACTCAGATGAACCCTGTGGCAGGGGTGCCCCTGTGATCTGGGGACTGGCCTTTCCAATGTGGTAGAAGTTTCTCTAATTCTCGAACTATAGAATGTTTCTATGTTACCAAAGAAGACCTGTCTCTAAAATTTCTTCACTCCCAAATCTCCTCACTATTCTTTCTTTCTTTCTTTTTTTGAGTCAAAGTCTCACTCTGTTGCCTAGGCTGGAGTGAGGTGGCACGCTCACGGCCACTGCAGCCTCAACCTGCTGGGCTCAGGTGATCCTTCCACCTCAGCCTTCCAAGTAACTGGAACTACAGGCGAGCACACGACCAAGCCTGACTAATTTTTTGATTTATTGTAGAGACGGGGTCTTGCCAAGTTGCCCAGGCTGGTCTCAAAGCCCTGAGTTCAGGCAATTCTCTAGCCTTGGCCTCCCAAAGTGCTGGGATTATAGGCTTCAGCCACCGCACCTGGCATTCACTATTCTAATGTATGGACAAAAAGAGAAGTCAAATATCAATTAACCTAAAATACTGGCTTAACCTGAGGGTTTAGTTTCCCATAGATATTTTCCACTAACTGCTGTTTAACCATTTCAGCACTTACCAACGGCTGTGAGAGTTCTCTTGGATTCAGATGGCTGTCTACACTGGCCCTTGGGAAGCAGTTTCCAGTTCATCCATTCCTTGCTGGGGCTTCCACATTTAGGTCTATGGCAGTAAATTTCACCCCTTAAAATTGGGAACCCATTGGGGCATATATACATTGAGAAACCCCAGTCCTGTGTTTTGGGGGAGCTGGGTTTGGATCAAGTTTGGCATAGGGTACAGGGAAGAGTCTGGGTTTTTTAGTCAGACAGTCCTGGCTTCAGATGGCATTTCTGCCACTCCCTAGCTGTGATTTCTGGGCAAACATTTTAACCTATCCTAAGTGTCCCTTATTCATAAAGTGGGGGTGAGGGTAATGGCACCTCCTTCAGAAGGTTATGGGATAACTCCATGAACACAGGTAGAATGTCCATAGGTGGTAGACAATCTGTGTTACTGTCCACATGGCTCCCTTATACCCTCCCAGTACTTCCTGGTGGGAACACTTTTGGGTTTCCTAGATTCAGCCTTCCTGAAAGGGGAGGGGAGGGGAGGTCCTTATACCAGAGGCTGGAACACAGAACACGCCTTAGGAAAGCGGTGATATTGCATCAGGAATTCACCTCATGTAACATCTATTGATAAGTACTGCTTCCCTACCAGATGCTTTTATGATTCACAGATGATGACATGACCTCTAGGAGCAACAAATATGGATGCAATTAATTATACTATAAGAATATAAGTGTCATGCCAAGTCAGTTCAATAACTGATGAGAGAATGATACATTCTACTCAGTAGATTTGGTGGTCAGCCCCCGAAAAACAAAAACAAAAACCAAACAAACAAAAACACAGGGAACTTCAAAACTCCACTGCCTTCTTCCAGAATCAGATCTGAGGAAATATCCCTTAGAGCTCAGCCCACTCTAAGTAAAACTCCCCACTGTGGGTCCCTCCCTGTCATGCACAGGCAGTTCAGGTGACATGACCAGGAACCATAGCATTTCACATACATTTTTTAGAGAGATTGGTTTTTTTCCTCCCTCCCTTCCTCCCTCCCTTTCTTCCTCTTTCTCTTTTCCTTTCTCCCTCTTTTTTTCCTTTTTTTGTTGTGTTGGAGTCTCACTCTATTGCCCAGGTTGGAGTGCTGTGGCACGACTATGGCTATCATAGCCTCTACTTCCTGTACTCAGGCAATCCTTTTGCCTCAGCCTTCCAAGTAGCTGGAACTACAGGCACAAGCCACCATGCCCGGCTAATTTTTTGATTTATTGTAGAGACAAGGTCTTGCCAAGTTGTCCAGGTTGGTCTCAAACCCCTGAGCTCAGTCAATCCTGTCACCTCCACCTCCCAAAGTACTGGAATTTTGGGAGATGAGCCACTGTGTCCGGCTAAGATAATGTTTTCTAAAATGAGGTAAAACAAATTTTGCTAAGTTGCATTTAAGTCTTGTTGCTTTCTAACAGAAACAGGAGATACAGTTCCTAAAACTTAGGACTGCCTGCATTCTTTTCTGTACTTAATTCAAAGTAAGAGGCTCAGCCCAGATGTCTTCGTTTGCAGGTAAGAAAAAATGCAGTCCAGAAAAGTGACCCAGATAAGGCCCATGGCTAGCCTGAAGCAGAGGCAGGACTAAGATTCGGTTTCTCTAACCTTTATCCCAGGCTTTGTGGTCTCTAAATATAGTCATACTGGAGACTGGACAGGAACATGGAGGCTGACGGGAGCGCTCAGCAGTATCAGTGTGTGAACCACAGAAGCAGGTACAGGCTGGAGCGTGTGTCCTGGGATCAACCTGTCCCTAATACCTACAGTATACGTAGGGAAGGAGAATGGACACTTTGCTCTTGATTATTTACATACAGGAAGCCATGGCTGCTCTCGATAGAAGCTTTAATGTTCCAAAGTGGAACCGTGCTTTTCAAAGGGAAAATGCTTTGGAGGCCATGTGTCCTTCAACACACCTCATATAAGAAAGGCAAGGGTGGTTAGGCTAAAAAACATCCCTTAATTTTGAGTGTAAAAATAGGCTTATCCCTTCCTAAGGGACAATGAACTTGCCACTTTGTTATAAATACACAGCGCATAGACAAAGGATACAATTCAGCTTTATTTTTACTTAATTATAACAAGAATCTTAAAAAAACTCCACGACTCTGTGCTAGTTCTAATAAATATCTAAATATAAACAGTTCAAATGTAGCACAAGTAATCTAGGCTAATGCGTAACTAGATGTGAATGAAGTCAGATGACGTAAATGATTCATTCCTTTTGTGTGTTTCCAGCAATTTGTGCTGGGTTGCAAAGTCACAAGACCAGTCCCTGGGGTCTGGGGTGGGACGACGGACCTGGGAGGCTTTGGGTTTGAGCAGACAGAGGGTGAGGCGAGCAGCTTGTAGGGGACGCCATCTATTCTTTCTAGTTTCCCCCCAAAGCTGACCTTTTTGGATGAATTTCTCTAGCACGTAGAAAAGGCTTTTCTTGGCTGCCAGCAAGCAGGGAGCAGGGCTGTGGCACGGTGAATATCTGGGGCAGCTAGGCATAGACTTGGACGCTTTGGAAAACTAGGGAGGGGACAGGGGGACAGAGACTTCTTCCTTATATGGACGGAGGAGGAGGGCGCTTGGTGACATTTTTCCTGAGTATGAAGGAGTAATACAAGATTGAAAGGTTTGTAACCATATGTTAAAACAGATACTGAGGACCAGTACTGGTGGGGAGAGGAAAGGTGTTGTAAATATACTTTTGTTTAAAATGAAGATTTCTGGAACAACTATCCCAATAGTGGTATCGTAAGTCTTTAACTAAATAAGGTCTAGACTAAAATAACTATATTAATTTTAACTTGTGAGGGTTCTTTTTAAAGCACCACTTAAAACCCATATGCTAAAAAATTAAATTTAGAAAAATTGTTTTATCTGAGAGATGAGTTTGCGAATGCACAGGAAAACACAGAGCCAACTTTTTAACCTTGAGTAATTGCCATGGTGCACACGGTCAAAGCCACTTTGAGGATTTTCTACATTTTCACTTAAAGGAGAACAAATTATGGTTACCAAAGAGTTTCTGGACAAAGACTCAGACCATAAAGAGCTACAACTTTCATCAACAGGGTCACTGGCCAGGTGATTTTTAAATTTTGAATCTGACACCCCAAACAGGATTTATAAGAATTTTTTATTTTTGTGAGAAATGACCAAAAAAAAAAAAAAAAAAAGTGGGAATTCATTTGAACAATTTCCGAAAACTTTAAATTATAGATTTGTCTATTTCAAAACTCACTCCAACCAAGATAGAAGAGAAACAAGACACGCATATGACACAGCTGAAGCAGCCTAAACTCGCCAAGACATCTTCCTTTGGACTGTTGCCTTCAAGAGCCGCTAGGTCATTTTTCACCTGTTGCCAGCAGCTTCTTCAAAAAAAACAAAGGATCTGCTGTAAGTCACTCTCAAATGCTCACCCGGCCAGAGGAGGCCTGTCTTCCACAGCCTTCTCTGCACGGCCTTGTCCCAGATGGGGCACCCAGGCTCGTGCCTGGGGGGCTGGCCCTGGCCCCTGCCTCGCCCCTGGTTGGGCTTCTGGTACTTGTCCTGGGTGCTGCGCTTCCTTGGTGAGGAGCAAGGGGCCTTGCCTCAGGCATGGAGGCAGGGCTCCTGAGAATGGCTTCTGGGCTTCTACGGGCTTTCTTCTTTCTGTGCCTGGCTCTTGGCAGGTTCCTGATTGCCCTCTTTTGTTCATGGTCTTGCTCCTTGTGGGAGGGCAGTGTGTTCTTAATTGTGTTAATTAGAAATCTTTTATTGGTGCCAGCGAGAGGACACTTCAACCTGGGCGTGGGGGAGAGAAAAGGAAACCGTCACACATTAAACAGCTAACTCTAAGGCTGAACGACTGTCATGATGAGGCCCCAAGACATCAACGTCCAAGTGCGGAGTTCCTGAATTTGTCAGCATTCCTTGCATGCCACCTAGTGTAAACTCTGAGTACAAGAGGAAAATTCAAGACACGGGATTCCTGATACTGACGGGATCCTGCCTCGATACTTGAAAACCTTTACTGGGACTATATTTCTTACTCAAGTTTATGTGGACAGGCATCGACAACAATGTGAATTCATGGAATCATGTAACATTTTCTTCTGAAATAACAGATGTCCGATTAGACCATAATGTATTTCAAAAATTTATTGTGGCTTGCTTTTTATTACCAAAGAGTGAAAATAAGTCTCCTTCCAAAGAACCAAAACGTGTACCTATATCTTGCTATATCTTAAATATAGGAGCTAAACAATCTACTGTAGAAATAAAAATGTGTGTAAAGAATCCATGAATATTCAATAATCTCCTTTTTCTTAAAAAAAAAAATCTTACACTTTGGTTTCAGGACTCAGTCTGCACTTTGTTGGGAGCACTTTACTCATACCCTTGGGTGGATTTCTGAGCAGTGTGTTTTTAAGAAGCTTCATAATTCAAGTTTACCCCAATAGAGGTTGTGACAATGAAATTGCTGAGGTATACTTACATACTACAATATTTATTCTATTTTTCAGGTGCAATACATCCTTCATTTTTGCAATAAAAACCCCTATACAAGGAAAGCCTGTGTATCTCTCGTGGTCCTGAGCAGCCTGCCCTGTGAGGGATTATTTTAGGAAGATGTTGATCCCCAAATCAGCATGGTTGGTGTTACACAAACATAAAGGCAGGCCAGCTATCTTTCTATACACCTTTGATTGACAGGGAGTCCTATGCAATGCTTCCAGAATCAACACATCAGCGTTCCACGCCAGCACTGCACAGTCTGCCATTGTAGACGTGAAACTCAAACAATCCTCCACCCACACTAATATGAAGGTCAGACCAGAATGGCATTGAGTCTGGAAGTAAAAGGAGGAAAACAAAGAAAAGAAAATGCCTCCTGCTGTAAATGAGTAGCTCTTGAGGCCCTGGGGACAGAGAAGATATCTGGAAGAATCAAAGGTTACTCCGCTGAGGTGTGTGTGCCTGTTTGAAGACGCTCAGGCCAGGATGTGAGGGGAGATGAACTCAACCAAAGGAAAAGAAATTGAGAGAGAAAAAGGCAGTAGAGTAGGCAGTGGCCACTCAGAGTGGGGGGCAGTGATGGGGGTGGAAGCCACAGCGAGTGAGACGAGGCATCAAGATGAAAGGCAATCACAAAAAGAAAGGAGAAAATAATTCTGCAAGTCCTGGGGGTACCAAGGTAAGGCTTCCCCAAGCTTTCCAAAAAAGTATTCATACACTGGTATCATGCCACCTCAGTAGTCCCCAGGTAATGCCGCTTATACCTCCTGGGGCACATCAGCATCACAACACTCCTGTGCAATGAGGAGTGGCAGCCAAGTGCTCCCAAGGGCGCGACAGGGCACTGCCCAAGGTGGGCCCTGCCTTGGTGAAGACACTTGAGTTGCCTTGAGTGGACAACGACATGGGCCAGACAGCGTGATGCTCAGTGCCTGGGAAGACCACCCCCCCCCCTTACTTGGGAGCAAAATCATTGTATGAGTCAATGGGCCCCATCTATGTCCTGAATAGATAAGGCTAGCGGTAGCTAGTGATAAACGCCAGCTGCAGGGGAATCCTGGGGGATTTTCACTGAGTGGGCCATCACAGTGCTGGTAAAACTGTCCATTCCTCTCTGGGTTAAACAATGAGGAAAGGTGAATGTTCCCAGATAGCACACTGCACCAGGCTCACAAGGCAAAACCTTTGGTAGCTCCTGGCAAATTCCATTTGACTTTGCTGTCTTCAGAGTTATTCAGAGAATGAGAGGGCTTTGCAGAATAATTCCACAAGAAAATGGGCATTTACACTCTTTTAACATCAAAGATGTGATGTTTAAGGTTGGTTGTGCCTGGGATTCTATTCAAGGTGAAAAGCCAAGGATGGCTTGGAGAGAGCCGGGTTTATGGGGTGAATGGGAGAGGGGATTGAAAGTTAGCCCTTCCCTGCAACCACCATACATTTTAGAAGTGACAAGTGCTCCTTCAGACTCTAGTAATACATGGTGCAGGGCAATGAGACAGGTGAGTAGTCGTCAGCAGATGTGACGTTACCTCTAGTAAATGATCTTGTATTAAGACATTCTAAAACCTGCCCTGCATAGATCCAAGTGCTAGGTCAGTAACATCAAACCAACATCGGGGGAAATAATGGGCAGAGCTGCTCTGGTCTTTAACGTAGAAATTAATTTTGCCAACTCTCAGGTAGTTGTTTCATTGCTAAGAAATCTTACTACAAGGCTAGGCAGAGTGGCTCATGCCTGTAATCCTAGCACTTTGGGAGGCTGACACAGGAGGATGACTTGAGGCCAGGAGTTTGAGACAAGCCTGAGCAGCATAGCAAGACCCTGTCTCTACAAAAAATAATTAGCAGAGTGTAGTGGCATGTTCCTGGGGTTCTAACTACTTGGGGAGCTGAGAGGATCACTTGAGCCCAAGAGTTGGAAGCTGCATTGAGCTATGATCACGCCACTGCGTTCCAACCTGGGTGACAGAGTGAGACCTTTCTCTAACACACATGCCACCCTGGAATCATACCATCTACCAGATGGAAGCTGAGGCATGTTATCCAACCTTTGACATGGTAGGGCAGAACAGCGCGATGCTGAGCGCCTGGGGAAGACTATCCCTACCTTACTGTGGGAACAAAATCATTTTATGAGTCAATGAGGCACATCACTGTCCTGAGTAGATAAGGCTATGCATAGCCAGTGGGGCATGTTGCTTCTTAGCTGTGAAATGGGGATCATGATAATGTAGATCAGATGAGTGAGAACTTGTGAGGTGCTGCAAACAACAGTGCCTGACATACACATTCTAAAACCTGCCCTACATAGATCCAAGGAGGTACCTATAGAAAGGAGGTACCTATAGAAACCTAGAATAAACTTAGTTTAGCATGGTCTTTTTGCCTCAGCACAACCATTTTTGCTTAGACCTTAGACTTTACCCCTGACACGCTTTGAATCTAGCACAGGTTAGACATAGATAGATACATTTCCAATAGGCAGATTTTAGGAAATGTTCAGACATTCTACTACAGGCCAAGCTGGCAGCCTCCCCTACCAACTCAGCAAATCTCCATCAGATGCAAGATAAGGATGGCCCAACAATTCAATTCATGATTTAGCATAATCATCTCTAAGAAACTTTCAGGCCTCTTAGCTGGCTGAAGCCATAGAAATGATAATAAAAACAGCTTTTAGTCAAAGAACTTGTGGATTGGAAAGTCTGACATGTCTCTTGCAGGAAAAAACCCTCCCCTTGTCTCCTACCTAGCCCACCACCATGGCAGCAATCATGTGACTAACCCACCCTTCTGCCTGCTGTCTATCACCTGATATCAGTACCACCCCTTTGTGATGATGTGGAGCAGACCACCACCCAATCACTTTAATGACCTTCCCCCATCCAAGGGAAATGGTTAAAAGGACTCAACCATGACTAGCCACCACCACTGCCTTACTAGACTCTGGTGTGGCCATGTGCTCTTTGAGCTATGGGTGTCGCCATGCGTCCTGTCTTTGGCCCCCCTCCTTACCTTGGGGAGGTGAATCTCCTCTTTCTCTAATTTACTTTCTAAATAAACTGTATTTTCAAATCTAACTTCTGTGCAATTCTTTGCATCTTTCACATGACATCGGATTGACACCAGACACCCCGCACTCCCAGCGGGCCTGACCTAACATTCTGGAGGCTTCACTGAGAGTGTGCCCTAGCACACACGCACTTAGTAATTTTCAGCTTTCGTTCATAGCCCACTGTTTAACAAGCTGTGTCATCACAGACAAGTCACTTCACTCCTCTCTGTGTTGGTTTCCCCCATTTGTAAAGTGGGAATAATAGAAGTATCTGCCTTATAAAGCCATTGTGTGAATTTAAAGGGATACTACATAGAGCATTTAGCATGGTGTCTGGCATATAGCAAGTCTTCAATAAATTACCTACAGGTCCATAAATTCTTATCCCTAAGTCCAAATTTTAAAAAACCTATTAAAATCAAATTATTTTTATAATACCAAAATTTGCTTGGCAGCAAAACTTGACCTGACCTGACATTGGGTTATTTATATACAGTCTTTATCCAATTTAGTGTAAACATGTATAAGTTTTGCTGAAGAAATGATACTATGTTGAACAAGTATGGTAGAGGGAGGGACGGTACATGCTATCTGCACTGTAGTGACTTTCTAAAATGTGAAAACACCTAAACCTGGATACTTATCTGGATCCAAGGACTTTAGACAAGGGCTTGTGACCCTACATTCTTCTTACTGCTTTTATGACAAGGAGAATACATACACTCAAAGAGAGTTAATGTATCTGGGCTTTTTCTTTTCTTATTTTTTTTTTTGAGTCAGAGTCTCACTCTGTTGTCTAGGTTGGAGTGCAGTGGCACATTCACAGCACCGCAGCATCGACCTGCTGGGCTCAGGCGATCCTTCTGCCTCAGCCTTCCAAGTAGCTGGAACCATAGGTGTACAACGCCACATCCGGCAAATTATTTTTTTGATTTACTGTCTAGACGAGGTCTTACCAAATTGCCCATGCTGATCTCAAACCCTGGACTCAGGCAATCCTCTCACCTCAACCTCCCAAAGTGCTAGGATTACAGGCATAAGCCACCGTACCCAAATGGCAACTCAAGATATCATCCTAGAGCCTCAAATCACCCGTGATAAAGTTAATAAAAAACAGAGCAGACCATCTGAAGTTTCTCAGTGGAAAAAAAAAAGTTAGCCAGGCTCAGTGGCTCAGCCTGTAATCCCAGCACTTTGGGAGGGTGAGGTGAGTGGTTGCCTGAGTCCG